CCCCCCCCCCCCCCCCCCGAATACTGAACCACGTCTAGGAAAAACCTAAACCACAAGGCCACAAACCTCAAACCACCCTCAAAACAGAAAAGTGAGAGCTAATATTCTTCATAAAACCTAAAACTGATATGACAACTGATTGAATCCTAGACAAATATAGAGCAATCATTCAGCCTGAATCTGAATATAAAAATAAACTAATCCAATATTGTACATAAATGTGCTTACGTTAAAGTCAATTGTTAAATTCTGTACAGGCACATTTCAAGTCCACATTTATAAGACATAATATAAAATCAGTATTATCAATTAAATGAACTGGCTTAGGCCTATATCAAAGTAAAAAAAAAATCATTTATAACTTTCAATTCTGGACAAAAGACTTTAACATGCCAATGGAATTCCAGAGCTGGAATTGAATGGGACTGGGAGGATCTGGGACAATCCCTTTATAATGATTTACTTAATAAGGGAAATGTTACTTTCAGAAATATGCAGCTTGGCCCATAATTCTGGGTCTGCATAAGGTGAGAGTGAGAGCTACAGCGCTATTTCCCTCACCGGGAACATTTCGGTAAAAAAACGTAGCACCGCAGGACACTCATTACGTGTCTCTGTTTTTTATCCCTTACCAAACTCGATGGCCTTGTTGACTTCGCGATGGGCTTGTTTTTGAGGGCACCGGGGGCCCCCGAGAGGTATTCGTTTGTCTGTCCACTTCAGAAGTTTACGAAAAACAAATTAGAAATTAGGCAAATGCAGCAGCACACGAACACTTACCGCAAAGCATATTTTAACGAAATGCTAGCTAATGCTAAATCTTCTGCACAAACAAGGATTTATTTATTATTAACTGGCTCCTCTTTATCTGATATGCATATCGTGAGACATATGTCCCTGGTGAATGATTATTAGGCCGTGGAGCGTGCAAGTGGCACGGCAGTGATTCGGGTACCTGACAGATCCACGTCCGACTCGTCATCCTCCTCTTCAGAGCTCAGCCGTCTCTGCTGCGCGACAGACTGTTTAAGCAGCTGATACGCTTTCGTCTCTGTTCAAAAACACAAAATGCCAGAGTCAAATATTTACTCAAGGCCTCGGCTTCCTACTTTGGGAGCCCCTCTGTTTGATGAGACAACACAGCACAACGCTGGAGCCTTTGAGACCTTGGGGGAGCAGAGTGGATAAAATGCTAAGCTGTTGGTTTAGGCTGGAAGCACACATTAGCCAGCAGTACAACAGTTTCCACAAAACCATCATCGCTCCCTATATCCCACGAGCAGCATCCGGATACAGATGGTGGACTTAATAATAGGGACATCAGGAAAATGTCAGCCGCTAAACTCAAGGGCCACCGTGTGCGGACAGGAGCACATAAATACAACATGGCGCAGATTCAGCAAGGCCCTGGAACTGTGCAGGATGAGGGCACTGCTGCTCTACTGGAAATTGCTCTGCAGTCCATGTCAGTTTGATGGGGGTGGACACAGCTGTCAAAATTGCCCCTTTAGTCTGTCCCAGTGGGACTAAATTCAACTGGCTAAGGTGCCAAAGACTGACAGGCAACATTTTCTACAGGATTCTCAAACCATCCATGGGCAAAGGGCACACGGGGGCAATCCTGTCCCGTAGTTACCAAGCAGAGACAGATGTGGTGCCATGGACTTCTTCCGATGTTTCAGAGTGCCAGTCACTGCGTATTGCGGCACATCCAGCTTGCTATCGGCATCCATTGTCCTTCCCGTATATATTGTAACCAGCACTACGGGCCTCTGGCTTAAGTCTATTCTGTACATACTGTACTTAATTGTTTCTTTTTTGTAGTCCCATTTTTTGCTGTATGTCTGAACTGTGTAAGTACACTGAGAGCGACAAAAAACTGGAGACGAAATCCTTTTATGTATAATCATACTTGGTCAGTAAAGCTGATTGTGGTTCAAACAAACCAGGCAAACGCCCGTTCACATTCACTCATTGGTCCCTCCGCCTTTCTCTCCAACCGATGTCTTCTTTGACACTGTTCCTGGCACACATTCGCAAAGGGACAGTAGGTAGATAAGACAGTAGGTAAAACAACTCTGCTATGGACCAGTGGGTATGAGGCTTAAGACTCATGATGACGCACTGCTGTACCGCTGGCCAAGGTACTTAACCGGAACTGCTTGAGTATAGATCCAGATCAAAGTGTCCATGGCCCCATTCTACTGCAAAGCATAAACTCCTGCTAACAATTTAATCCACTGGCCACTCAGAAGCTCTGAAACTGTCTTCCAGTCCTGCTGATTTCCAAGCCAAGGCCTGATTATTAATACATAAGATGCTCAAACAGAATGCCGCATATTACAATTGCCATGTTTTTAATGCCAAACATGTTTGTTTCATTTGCAGGATACTTGTAGCTCTAGTGTTGCATCAAACACAGTTGGCTTATCATACATACTGGGATTTGATGGTCTCTGTCCTGGCTTCACTTTATAGTCTCCAGTAACTGGCTAACAGAAATAAAAATGCATGTACAGATAGCCCAGTTCATACACAAATCAGCTCTCCACTATGTGCAGAAAGTAATTTATTTCACTTCATTTACAAGACAAAACTAAACATGTTGTACGTCTCATAAACGTCGATAGAGACCAGTCAGCTTTTTTTTTTATTGCTTTTCATTAGTTGCAATTTGCAGCCACACTACTTGCTATTGTGCAGCGTGTTGGGATGTCTATACATAAGAAAACTGGGCATGGAACCCAACTGGCAAGCGTAATAATAGATTGTTTTACATTTCTGAGGTTCTGGTAGCGAGTAGTAACCTTGGGATCTTTCAGGATGTCTTCACACTCCGCCCTTTTAAGTCTGCTTGAGCGCAACATTGTTTAGGAGATAATGAGAGCCAGCAACGGATCTCGCACTACACTCGGCGAGGCAGACAATTACGTCGCGGCGTTATGGTGGACAAATGATCACTTTTGGTACGCTCCGAAACCAACAGAAAAACAGGGCGCCGCTTTCTCCAGGATAATTAGAGGACCTGCACGGCCCTTCAGGTGGGAGTTTGACCCCAGATTCACCTTGATCATCCTTCCACAGCAATCCATTTAAAAGACCCCATTATCCTGTTCTGTAGCAGGAAAACAAACGGCACACAGGCCCTCTGAATGCTGGGCTGGGCGCTGCCTTTTTTACCTCTAATAGGAATACTTTCCACAAAGCTTTCTTCCTTGCTGTCCTCTTCACCACTTTGTCCTCCTGTAAGAAAGAAAAGCAACATGAAGCTCAGAATCGGGAAACCGGGACTCCTCCTTTCCGTTTGTGTCCGAACAGTACGGATGACTGAGGCTGGGTTGGAAAAGCTTTCATGGAAAAGAGCAACTTTTCAGTTGTGCTGAGGAAAGTTATTTGGCTGAAAGATGGCACAGGCTCCAGACCACCATCATTCCAAAGCTCACGAAAGGGCGCTGTAAAGGGGTGGGGGGGGTGGGGGTGGGGACGTCTCCAAGGGCCCCTGAGTGACTAGAAACCAGAGGAAAAATCATGGTGTGTTCTTGATTTGCAAGAAATTTGTCACAATCTACCCATTCGCTATGGACAGATTTCAGGAATGTCAGAAGGCAGTTTTTATGAAGCAGCATGTATTACATTGGGTAGGTAAAACTTAAAAAAACACATCTTTATACAAAAGGGTCAACATTTATGTATTTCAAAGGAGAGGAAAATGTGTATTTTATAATATTAGCCAAAAAAAAAAAAAACAGCGTGGGATTTTGGTCAAGTTGCTCAGCCTGAATACAGAATGAAGATTTGCTGTGTGTGAAGAATCATGGTTTTTTTCTGCTTCAAGCCATTAACAGGTAGATGGATGTTCATGCCCTGGAGTGAGCCGCAATGAAAATGTGCCATTAGCAACAACCACCGGAGCTAACGTGCTAACGACCTTGTTTCCTGTTGTCTCTGAGCCAATGGTCAGGCCCGGGTGTCTTTATTTCCTCGCTGTCGTCAAGGAGAGACGGAAGATCGCAGGATGACCGATTGCTCTCAGACAGACTCGCGTCAGACGCTTGCGGCAAGATTTTCTTCACCAGCACTTTAGCCTGAAGCGCGACAAAATAAACGAAATTTTTATCGCCCACTGAGTACATCTGGATCATCATCTTGAGCACAACGTTTGACACATGGCACCCAACCTGTCTGACACAAAAAAACCCGGCAAACTACAGAAGCGAAAACAATCACAACAGCCTAGTTTGTGACACCCTGAACCACACTCTCAAAGACTGAAACTAGAGCGAAACCAGAATAAAACTACTGATATGTTAAGATTGCTTAATTAGGAGAAAGAATCATGGTTATTTATATCTGAACACTTATTCATCTTTTCAAAGATGGCGTTAAATGCATTTAAATGCTCTGTGTAATGAAGATGAATGACAAGGCCGATATTATCATCACAATCTCTATCTGTGAAGACAAGCCTGGTGATCAGAGCTTCTCTTGTCTTGTTGAGTTAGCTTGTCTAGACAAAAAAGGGGACCTTAAGAATCACATTTCACATATACATATTCATTTTCTTTTCAGATTTTTTTTTTTTTTATTTGTAACTAATAAAAAAATTAACCCTGATATCCAACATGGTCCTATGAGCCAAAGCTACTTTGCCCCTCTCTTGCTGAACTGCTCATCATAAAAGCTATTTGCAGGGGTCAAAGTCTGAAGCTTAGTGATTTGCAGTATAAGTAATGGATTCTCCTGGCACAATTTTGCACTTATCGCCTGAGATGAACTGGATTCTTCTTTAAAGCTGTATGTTTCTACACCTGATGACCTGCCAAAAGCTGAGAGTTGATGGACATGCAGAAGATGCAGTGAAGGGAGAAAAATCCGTTTCAACGGCAAGGCAGCGTATTTGCACATGAAGATGGACAAGTGTGACACATCCAGAAGTCGGTTTGCACTTGACGAGCTCAGACACTCAATGTGGAGACTAGCAGGGCAGACAGGCACCATCATCCCACTGCCACTGGTCACGAGTTCTGCTCCCATCTTTAAAATCACCAAGCGTTTTTTTCACTCGCATGTGAAACCCTTCCAGACAAAGATTCCTTTGTTGCAAATGGTACCTGCCGCTAAAAATGTCAGGTTTGGAATATAACACACAGACATTGTGCCAAAGGCTTCACCAGACTGACACACAGTAAATATTAACAGACAATCAGCCAGCAAGACAGCCATTTCCAAACATGCTGCAAAACAATAGCCAGAATGCCTCCTTGTAGTCTGGCCCAAATATGTGGGTCGTTTATTCATTTTGTCCTAAATATGTTTAGCACATTTTCTACTGGTCAACAGAATGGGCAGTACTGTGCTCTTATCAGTGGATTTCAATTAAATTAACTTTGTGGAAACCTCTTCATTAACAAAACAAAACACTTATCTTGAAGTGAAACAGTTTACCTTTTCCAAATAGGAAGCATCATTCTGTACTAGTAATGGTGTAAACAGTTCCACAATTTGATTGGTGGTGAAGAGGCCAGAGTTCTCCAGCGCATGAGCATGCTGAAGCCACCGCTCGAACAGAGTTGACCCATCTGGGGGCAGACAGGACCTGTAAGGACAAGGCAGTGTGATGCAGGGATGGGTTTGATAAAGGCTATAAGCCAGGCTAGGCAGTGAAATTCCAAATTATGCTAATGAGGTAATAAAGCGTCATCTGATTTGATGGCTTCTACAATTTCTAAATATACAGTAAGTATATTTGTTTTTGAGTTACTTTTTAATATCGATATTTATGGGAGAAATTGATTAGGATCAAGTGTATGCATTTCTCAAACAGCAATTTCTGTGACTGTGTAGAAAAAGGCATTCTGAATTTCAATTTGACATATTATTCTGATTTCACTTGTTAGCCAACACTAGGGATCACATGTTTGGTTTAAGCCAACGCTTAAATAAAGTTATGCTTGTAACTGTTTGTTAAGCAGATCAGAAATACATTTACTTCAAATGTCATATATACAGTTAAAAGAAAGGTGAAATAGAGGATGGAGTGAAATATGGTTTAACATAAAAAGCCATGGACTGACTGCGCAGTGTATTTCACTGTACAGTGCAATGGGCTGTGTTCATGGGCTTTATTTTTAAATGTGCAAAACCTTTAGTGAGGCTGCCTGGAGAAGTTATGCCAAATAGAATAATGTAGCCGATACCTTCATTCCAAGGACATGCTGTCCATTATTGCAGAGAAAGGGAACCTCATTTACGTGACACACAGCACATTGTTACTGTGCAGTGATATCGGACGTGACCTCTGAGACGGCAGGCTGTGTTTACGTCCCACTCAAGTACATTTGCTTATCCCGAGAACATTAAAAAAAAAAAAAACAGGGGAATTAATATCTTTCGTCCGAGTAAAAAAGTGATACATCTTCCATGCTAATAGTGTAAGACACACTTTATTCCTGATAGACAACCAGAGACTCAGTGATTTTAACATTATTATACAAACTACACCTAAGATAACTGAAAACGTCTTCAGATGAATTTCATTGAAAGGAGGCAAAAAAAAGCTGAACCAATATATTCAAATCAAACACAATATTCCATAAAAATAAAGAACATATGTGGCTAAAAAAACCACATGCTGTCTGCTACTTGTACTTTTATTTATGTAATTTCTCATAATAGTGTCACTATGGATCCCACAGCAGGCTGATAAAGACTTTCTGATGTCAGAAAGTTGCTGTAATTTTTCTGGTATTTATTTTTTCCATTCACAAATAATTAGTATTTCTTTCAGCCCAGGCAACATTAATTACAGGCTGATTTTCTGACAGATTTATCACAGACCTGACGCAACTCAGCAGAACATAATGACATAAATTGATAAGCCTGTTAAACAATTACTTGTGAGAAATTTAATCTGGCTCCAAATTAAGAGCACGCCCTACCTGATTTTTTTTTCGTCCGCGCTCGTCCAGTTAGCGCTAACAATCTCTTCGGGTAACAGGCATCCTTTTGACACGCTCCATGACAACCTCTGAAGCTGATGAAGGACGACTGCTCCACACGCTTCAAGGTCCACTCCATTCAAGGCAGCCTTGCCGTTACAAAGGCTGTGAAATATATCGAGCCGTGTGAGCCATTTCCATGGTGCCGGGGGATCTGCCAGCCGGTCAAGATTTCGATCCCGGCAGCCGCCTGCTTCGCGTCCGTCACGGTTGATCGAAATCAGCTGCAGGAAACACGTGGCAAAGGCCACATCTGGATCGCTCCCAGACGAGAGAACGTGCTCTCAGTGCCCTATTGTCTACCTTAAAATAGGGCATCATTAGGCAGCGGCCCTGAGCGACCCCCCCCCTCCCCCGCAATCCACCCCCACTCTCTTCTCTCTTCTAATCACACCAACATCATCATCTTTTTTCAGTGGTTCTCAGGACTTCGCATTACTTTGCTATAAAAAGAGCTTGGATGATTTTTCATGCCCCTCAATCGTATGCCAGCTCACAATCAGCAAAGTTTTTTGTAACATTTCTCGCAGCAGCCCTGTTCATCATAATGCACAGTTTCTGTGATACTACTGAGGTCTATAAACTGGCAGAAACCATGAAGTGCTGTAGGTGTCACTTAAGGACAGGTTTTTAAATGCATGATAATGCAGTCAACTATAAAATATGACAATTAACAAGGCTGATAATGCTGTAGTGAAAACAAATTTCCCCATATCTACAACCGTACAAAGGGAGGCTCTTTACAAAAAACACTTACCTTATTAAATTGTTCAGTTTTTCTTCACTAATTGATGAAATCTTATACAGCTCATTTTCTCTTTGATCAAGCCTTCCTTCAATGCTGTTCATTAAATGAAAAAAGCCCTCCAATGAAAGCCTGGAAAAAAAATCAGAAAACAGTATGCTAATTTTCCCCTCACTCGACGCCCTGCGTATGAGCTACAAGGATAAACAAAGTGCAGCCATTTTTTTATGTCCAACTGCCATATCATCTTATGCAGTAGACCATATCTAACATGGCGTATGTAGCAGTACAGACAGCATCTGATGACACGTGTCACAGTACAGACAGCGTCTGAAGAGGCACATGCAGCAGTACAGACAGCGTCTGAAGAGGCACATGCAGCAGTACAGACAGCATCTGAAGACATATCTAGCACTACGAATAGTACTTCATGACACACAGATAGCAATACTGCATTTGGTAATATGAGAATATTTTCTGTTAATTTTAAGTTACAAATAGTATTCAGGAGTGTGGATGCAGCAGACGAACCCATAAAACCCAGCTATCTCTATGAAGAAAACCACTAGAAACAGGGCAGGAAGACAAGCGCAAATATGCCATTTTGTCCACTGGTATCTGTAAAAGCATTATCTTCAGAGCAGTGAGGCTAGCGTCCCTCAGTTAAAAGTAATTGCAGTCTATCATTTTAGACCCCTTCATAAGCAAAACGGAATTCTCAGAATTAGCATTACAATAGATCAAAGTAGATTAAATGCTAAACATAATTATTTTAAAATAATTTCAACATTACCAACAATGCAGAAACTGAAGATTAATTTTGCATGCAGACACCATTGAATGCACATGCAATCCTGAAGATACACTATAAAACAAAATAATCAAATTCTAATAAAATAATGAAATAATGCCCAAGCTGTCAAATGGCATTTGCCAAAATAATCTTTTAAGAAAATGTGAAAATGTCCGTATAAAACAGAAGGATTCATCACTGGTCTGGGCCAATTCTAATTTTTGGAACAATTAATTTGAATGAATATTACATTGATTCAATTGATAAAACTATATAAACTGCAGAAAGGCCAATGCAGCACAGAGATTCCTGACCACCATCAAAAGTCATCTGAAAACGGCAACTTTCAGCATTTGCAGAGCCCAGCTAACCAGGGCACAGACAAGCTGGAAGCGAGTAAATAAATATGCAAAAAAAATAAAAAATATATATATATGGATGGATGGATGGATATATAAACTGATTTTCTTCAAGACAGATTTATGCCTTTTTAATCTAGTCATTCATGGATGTAAAATGTGAAATATATGCCCCCTGCATGTGGATGCTGTGATCCTCTGCCTTTCTGGGTATTCAGCTCTGGGTGGCCCTCATTGAATTTCCCACAAAACCCAGCAGAGACCTCAAGCTCAGCAACATAAAAGGGGAAAAAAAGAATTTATGACAATCTATAATGGGTTGGGAGGTCAGAGGTCAGCAAACAATTGGTCCTTCTCTTTTGCAGGTTGTTTCCTGGTAACATCCTGATTAAGCTGGCAGCCTGAATTATATCCATGACATTCTGTAGTGCACAATCCATCTGTGCTAAGTCCTCTTCAATGCAGCTGAAGTAGTATGGGCACAAGCTCTGCCTTTTTTCCCTTCATTGTGGACCTTGAAATAGTCATCATCTTTCTCTCCACTTTATTTGTCAGTGCTCTTCAAAAAGGACCTTTAAAAAGTGAATGTGTTGTGTGCACCAGACCCATGGTATGGTAGCCTTTGCCGATAGGTCTCCGACCACACTTTCACGCTTACTCTGCACATTTACTACTCTCCACGTTGGGAAATGTGGCTGAAGACCATGACTGGGTTGCACATGTCGCAGAATGAACTTGACCATGGGGCCTGTGGTAGAGCTGGTGGTTAATAACTGTCCCAAAGGTCAAGCTTCTGCATGAACGTAAAAACATTCCGAAAAGCCAAAGTATGTGTTGCCACTACAGAGAAACTTAACGGAACAATAAACAAAGAAAAAACAAAAACAGATCTTCTACGAAAGGCTCAGAGGGACCCAATAAAATAAGTAAATGAATGTACCCACCAATCAATCCATCCATCCATCCACCCATCAATCCATCCATCCATCAATCCATCCACCCATCCATCCATCCATCCATCCACCCATCAATCCATCCACCCATCCATCCATCCTCCAACTGCTTATTCATATAGAAACAAATAATATCCACTAAAGGTGTAGGAGAGAATTTGATATTGGGGGGGACAAACTTAAAAATTTAAATACAATGGTCAGTTTATTGGGGGAACAAATGAAGCCCAATTAAATATGGGGGGGACGCATCCTCCCGGTTCCTATGTCCCTGATGCTCCTATGTCCACAAACGCTACATAATAAACATTTTACAAACATTACAACTTCATAAATTTACATATACTGTAGTTCAATAAACAAATTGATGTCTGAAATATCATTGGGAAAATACTGGGGGATTAACCCTTAAAGATATTTCAGGCAGTGGAAATAAAATGAAATTGGGACATGCCTGATTTTTTCATTCCCCTACATAATATTCCTGCTGTAAAATTCTTCACATAGAATTTATTTCTTAAAATAAGAATTTATTTTAGGTGTCTACCTGTCATACATAAAATGGGATTTACGTATAAATGGGGTAAACTTCCTTTGTGCTTTTGTGGACTCAGCAACACACGCATCTGCATAATGTTCTGTAATGTATAAAAAACAGAGTAGTAATAATCAGCTATCGCTTGTAAGCCGTGTGTAATGAAATGCATTCATTTAAAGCACATTATTTTTTTGGAGAATTCCGGTCACTTCAGCAAATTATTTTAAAATATAAAGCAGGGGGGCACTTCTATATTACAATTCCATTAAACAGGCCCATAATGTTACTTGTCAAAACTCTGCATCTCCAATAAAGAAGTGAAACTAGACAGAAGCTGAATTGCACACAGGCACACATTCCAACCCGTTTGAAAGCAGGGACTCAGGCCATTATTGAGCGGGGCTAAAGAATAGCCAGGGTGTCTCAGCGCGTTCTCACCCAGGTCACACTGAGCAGAAATATAATGGAATAATTTAATGAATCGCGTGGCCTTGTTTTGATTCCTGTGAGTTGAATAGGAAGAGCGATATAAACACTAACCTTGACCTTGCGCAACAGAACACGCGCGACGAAGCCTCGGAGCTTTACATCAAAGGCTCGCTCCCCCTTACGCTCTGCTCCCAGCTAACAATGGCGGGCTCACTTTTCTCCCGGAGAAATCTCTTAAAGGTCACATTTTCACATTTAGGTAGACAAGGCTGTTTGTCAAAAATAAAAATGCTTTATCTTAAAATAAATGTGTCTGGCTCGATTGTTAATTTTCTATTTTAAAAAATCCTCCACGATATTAAATAGGGTTCAGCTTGAATTACTACTGATCTGGAAGGCGGGATGAATATGATTTCATACATAAGCCCCTGGAGAAGCTGGAGAGAATGACTGCGCTGGAGAGAACGGCCCTGGCCATGAGTGAGCAGTGGTAAAATGACCATGAAAATGACCATCAAGCACTACTTCCAGCGTGCTTTGTCAGTTAAAAGTAGGTCTAAGTATTTGAGCACGATTTAGTGTTAGATGCTATAATCTCTCACTACAACTTGTTGGGGCCTTAGACAAAAGCAACTGAATAGAATAGGATTTTTTAAATTGTAAAGTCTTAACTTTCTGTGCCATAGCGAACATGCTCTGAACATTTTTTGTAAATAAACAAAAGAGGTTTACAAGGAGCATTACACAAGTTTCGGACACACATAGCAGAGTGTAAACAGAGTGATTTAACGGCCTTTTAAATATCACCGAAATGGACAGCAGGGCGTGTGTCTAGCAGTACAAATATATTCAGACACAAAGACGCAAACGCTGCCATACGAATGTCTTGAAATCATCTGTATGCATTATTATCCATTTCCAGTGCGGCAAGCAAGAGCAAAAATCTAAATTCAGTGCCTGCGGACCCATTTAATCCATGTGGGGTTGGTCTGTGTTAAACCACTCATGACCTGCGGCCTATTCAAGCGAAGGATAAGGAGCTCTGAAGATAGAGGGGGGAAAAAAGCCTCCGATAGTATGGAAACAGTCACTTCACATGTGCTAAAAACCATCAGTTATGACTCACGAAAACAAATCAAAGGCAGTAAGGTGGGATGGCAATAACGGTGCCTTGAAACGATGGCTATGACCACACTACCCAAACACATAGGATAATGCATAATATCACTATCCAAAGGCTGCATAGGGCTTGAGGCAGGGGAACAGGGTGAACAGGGTGCCAATCAGTCGCAGGGATAATTAATGTAATATACCGATGCATTACTAGTTCGAGAGTTAGACATTATAGGGTTTAAAATTGGAGAAACTTCAGCAGATTGTCATCTGAATTTATTTGTAATTAATTATTCACAATGAAGTTCTTACTGAACAATATCTCAAAATGACCTTAGATATGTTGGCTATAACCTTAAATGGTTAGAGTTTGAAAAGAAACCCAACACTTACCCCATGGAGGTCACTTCTGATACTACCGAGCTCCATCCATGTTCTTCTCTGACCTCTGACTCCACTGACACAGCCCGCCAAACATCACCGCTGAAACCTTTGACGTCTGCGGTCATGTGGCCTTCCTCTGCTGGTGTCCCATGTGGCCCCGTCTCACTAAAGTGAGTGTCTGTGATGTCACTTCCTCCAGGTAACCCCACGAGGTCTTTAACATCGTTCAAGGACAGAGAATGCTTGCTGCTGGGGTTACTGGGCTTTTTGGGAGTGAGATTAGAAACACTGCAGCTCTTACTGTTTTCATCATCTGAAATAAATGTTTTTTTTTTCCTTGTTAATAAAAACTGTACAAAAAGAAAATGTAAACATTCATGACAGCCAACATATGTTCGACACTGTAAACCAGCTTTCATGAGGTGGAGCGTTATCTCTCTTGCCAGTTCTGGAAAACCATCAGGGGAGTATAAAGGAGCCCATAGTAAGAGCCGTTAATTCGTTTATTGTGTGTGAAGCAGACAAATGATTTCACAGAAGCGAAAGGCAAACCTCCAGTGCAGCTGGCGTCATTTTTGGATTCGTTCTGAGGTGACGGTCTTTGAGGAGGCCTTGTGATATTTTCTTTGGTGACTCTGGCATTTGAAGAGACTTTCGGATGATGTCGGTCTTCCTCGGGTGAGCCGCTTGCTACTAGGCTGGGTCCACTAGCATCAGCTGCCGTCGTTTCCTGAGGCGAGCGAGAGATCAAACGTGACGTGGAGGACCCGTCGCTCTCGTGCGGTCCGCCGGCTGTCGACAGAAACGGCAAGGCTCCGTCCTTCTTCTCATTCGCATCCCACGGCTCGGCAACCTCCCTCAGCAATCCCGGAGCGCTCAAAGCGCCGCTTCCCCAAAGCCGTCCGGGCAAGACATCCGATGGCCGCGATTTCTGGGCCTTTGAAACAATGGGTTCGTCGGAGTAAACTGTGCAGACCTGTGGATGTTGGGAGAGTACTTTAGTCGCCTGAGACAATGTGTGGGAGATTTTATTTCCGCAAAGAACCTAATAATGAACCTCTTTGGGAGGAGACATAGAAAAAGCGCTGACCTAGAGGTGTCAATAATGTGACACATACTGTAGAACAGTACAAAGATTTCTTTGAAATGTTTGTAGTGAATGGTTTTTTCTAGCATAATACTTTATCCTGAACGGTCTGTACTGTGACACGTGTCATCATACACAAAGCACAAAGGCAATATCACATTAAGCAAAGGTATGTTAAGTCAGTTATACTCCTTTATGTATATTTGAAAAATAAAATAGAAATAACAACAATTAGAGAACTATCAAAACGTGCCAAATGCTCAAGGACACCATTCAATACTATGTAACAACACATATCATAAAGATTTTATCTAATACCTATATCTCTTTCTTTCACATTTCTATATAAGCATTATGTTACACACTCTTATTGCATTTCTGTAGTGAATATCTACTCAAAGTCAACACCCATACTCCAGGTTATAATGCTCACTCTCAGAGTCCAGCTTCGACCTGCGAAAGCATCACTTTGTCCATTAAAAGACATTTATTAATATATACATATATACATATATATATATATATATACATATATATATATATATATACATATATATATATATATATACATATATATATATATATA